AATGACAGAATTTTCATTTTTGGGTGAACTAACCCTTTAATGTAAGGTAAAGTTACGTCTTTGGGATTTTGTTGGATTTGATTTCTACTGTTACTCAGCGAGTTTGCTTCTGTTTCTTAGCGTCAAGCTTAAACCACATATAAAACAATCATGTAACACATCTCATTTGTGGATGAATGGCTGTTAGATTGAATAAAGTTTATTAAAAAGCAAAGAAAGTTACTGTACTTATGAGTACTGTTGTTTCCCTTCATACACAGTGCTATAATGGCAGCCTTGCATGCAGTTCTTGAAGCACCCACAAGATGCCGCCATTTATTGGTGGATCGCTATTACAGGACTGATGTCCAATTTTAGAAAAATTCTTAAATATTAAATAAATGACACCAATGTTATATCATGCATTTACTGTGAATGGTTTAGGGTTTTTGTCTGCCAGCAAAGAAAGGAGCTAACCTAATTAATAAATTAGAGAGATGTGAAGCAAGTCGTTCTGATCCTGGTGATCAGGTGGGTCTTCATGTGCGCTTGCAGAAGCTGCAGGAACAGGACGAGCATGCAAAGCTGCTGAAGGATCGTCTGCGCTGGGAGCAGAGAGAACTGCGCACACGGCTGGAGAAACTGCAGGGCGGTTCAGAGAGGATGCGTAACGATAGCCTTGGCTCAGCTGTGTCCTCCGAGAGATCCGACTCTGAGAGAGGTGATCATCAGACGGCCAAGATGATCATATTCTTAACTAGTGTTAAGAGTTTCTGTGAGCTTAATATGAGCTTTCAGAGTTAAATATATATATATATATATATTTATATTGTGATTATGATCAGTAACTAACTTAGCTAAAATGTGCATCCTGAGATGCTTGTAAAATTTACTGAAAGAGTTCACATCACATGTATGGTGGACACTTGTTGCTACTTTTCTTACATCAACTCATCTACTCCAACTCACCTATTTCTTTGATTTAATTAAATATTGAATTTACTTTAGAAATCCAAATGGTAAATATTCAAAGACACCTGTTTTATGTCTGAGATTTAGTTTTTGTTCTCAAGCCTATTGTAATGGGTGGTAGAGTAAATAGTCACGAGTTGTTGATCATACTTGCTTGAAAATTGCAGAGGACGTTGAGATTGACGTGGAGAGCATGGTGTGGACTCTGGAGTCAGATGGACTGGGCTCATCACATGCTGGGGTGGACCATAGCTACTCTACCTCTGATCACAACTGGTTATGACCGTCCCAGATCTACAAATGACACGGAACGTGATTAAATGGATGAGGGACTGAGGGAAAATGTTTGATGGGCTTTACCATCGTCACCACAGAACAGCCTTATGTTGCTGCCATGCTGAAAACATCAGCCGGAAACAACGTCTAAGCATGACTGGAATTTATTTTGTGTAGTGTATTCTTTACACCAGGGGTGGGCAAACTTGGCCCTTCCAGGATACTTTCCTTCAGAGGTTAGCTCCAACCCTAATCAAACACACCTGAACCAGCTAATCACTGTCTTCAAGACTACTAGAAGGCTACAGGCAGGTGAGTCATATCAGGGTTGGATCAAATCTCTGCAGGAAAGTGGCCTGGAAGGGCCAAGTTTGCCCATCACTGCTCTACACTAATGGCATTATGGTGCTCTAGTATGCTGTACACTCGTGAGATTCAAGTGTGACGATGCTTTATTTCCACAGAATGATTGTTTTTTTGTCTGGATTAGCTATGATCACATTGTACCCGCTAGTTGTCTTCTATCCAGCTAATGAGCTTAACTTTAGGGTCAGCCTGCAGTACAGATTGGCTTGCACTTAAGTGTTAATATCCAGCTTATTTTAAGTTGAGTTTTGATACATTGCACAAAGCATACTCATTAGCACTTGTGATGTCTCCTTAGATGTGTGGTGTTCCTTTCAGGTTTGCTAATGTGTGAAATTGCAGATCATGTCAATGCATCTTTCACTTTAAAAAATGTTTTGTTCTAATTGGAAAAAAAAAAAAACTGGGGAGGCAAATTCAAAGGTTGTGATGCAATTCATAGGGAAAGACTTCTTTCCTTTACAACCATGCATTTATTATTTGCTATTGGGTAAAGGTACAGTTGGGTTTGAAATGATGATTGTTGAACTGCTATCTGTATCATCTTGATGTTTCATTTTTATGTACTTTTTACTGTTTTGTTTTGGTCCTGTGCTTTGGTTCATTTTAGAGAATCAAAGTTGGTGCTATTCAAACACCCAACAACAAGCTACTATGTTGAGCCCTAAGAAGCCTGAAAAACAGGAAAGTTGTTTTTCTTTGTACAGTGGATTTTCAGCAGTTTAATCCATTTTCCCCTAAGAAGTGTTAGTCTGCTCATGTGAAAATGTTTTTATTTTTTTATGCATACCTTTAAACTGCAATTCAGTATGTTGGTAGTCTTGACAAAATACATGGGCTGTATTTGCAAACTGTTCAGTATCTGCTCATATCAATCATTTATGCAAACTATTATGAACATGCCTTTGTTTTCAGATGTTTGTACAGTAATTGTTAATGTACACAGCAAAATGTACATTGTATATACAGTTCTGAACACCAAATGCCTTATGAACTATTCGTATGTCATTGGACCAGGAACACCTTTGTATTTATGTCTCCTTGTACTCATATGTAGCATTTTATTCTTTTTTACCAACATAAGCCTTTTGTACAAATAAATATTTTATGTATTTAATTTGACTTGTCACTATGATTTTGTATTCTGTACGCTATTCATTTGAAACTGGGAACTTGGCTGTATTACATTAGTCTAGTTTCACCTACATATCAGACCCAACCTGATGTCAAAAAGTCTTGGAAAAAAAACAACCTAGAATTCAGTCATATCAAACCAAAGCTCTTCCTGATTCTGAGAGCATGTTGGTCTATTTTAATACTATGGTTTCATTTCTGAAGAAAATATAAGTGGTGTGGTAAAAGTTTTCCAAGATTTACTTTATCTGCTTAAATTATGCCATGAAATGAAAGAACCATGTCAGATAGAAAATATTTATTGGTAATAGCTATTGATCACAAACAATTAAGAGCTATAAGACATTATGCAAGCTATCCCTTTCATTAAACAAATGCGTTTCTTCTTTCAGACACTCAACATCTGACATGTTTTGACAACTTTCACACTTGTAATCAGACATTGCCGTCCATCCAGTGCAATATCATGCAAAGATCAGACTCTTCTAGATATCACGCCGGCAATGACTGCTGGAACTATGGACCCATCAATGCAGATAGAACTTCAATTTGAAGCAACGAATCACATTGCTAAACAAGGCAGATTACAGACCTCAGCAAGTGTGAATATGAAGATTCAGAGAGGCCATGTTTGAAATACATCAACAAAATCAGATAAATTAAGAAATTAATTTAGCAATCAAAAAAATGCAAACATCTCAGGAGCTGGTGGAGGATGGTGCCGTATCAAATCAAGTTTACTGGAGAATTTCAGTCGAAGAGCACATGGGCTTCACTAAATGCATTCGGAGAATCCAGACAGGCACGATTTGATCATCTCAGCTCCTGGCTAAATGCATCTCACATCCGCGTCTGTGCCCAGTGTGATGGGGCCCTTTTCAGAAGTGCTGGGAGAGTCCGGACACTGCGCCTCCTCCAGGCGTGTGCGCTCATCATACATACTGCTTCTTTTGAGCTTGAGAGGCTAAATCTTTCACCTTCTCTTTGGCAGCGAGTGCGGTTTCTCTTGCCTTCACAGTTGCAGTTTCTGCCAGCGTTCGTGTGGGCAGTTCACCTGTGCAGTAATGAGATCCAGCTTAGCCAACCATGTTTACAATCAAAATGAATGAAACCATTAAGCGGTTACTGCATGCTTGAACTCTAGCTGGCATCTTACCTTGCATCTTGGCCAGGACGTACTCAAAACCTTTCATGGTCTTTGTAACGTTGCTCTTAAACCGGGCAAGACCAAATTCCTGAAAATGGGATGGAAAGCAAACTGAAAAACACTCCTTGCTGCCAAGTGTTGTGGAAGATCCAGTGAGGTCATTTAACTGCAGACTAAACAACTGTTAGCTATAAACACGACGCGTGACGCATGTCTTCTGCATCAACCCGACGATCCAGGCTGTAGCATGTGTGGGATTACAAATTTTAGAATCTGTTTAAAATATGCTGATCCTATGTTCTGACATAGCATCACATGAAAAACTAAGGTGAAGTACATTGTATTTAGCATTTAAGGTAAATTACATCAGAAGTGTAAGTCTCCTGGTCTCTGCTTCGACGAGGAAAAAGTTTCCTACACATGTTACTCAGATGTATTTAAACAGATCACATACTGTAATAAAATTTCTTTGAGATCAACATAACCACATGTTGCTTAGACATCCTTTCACCCGCTGACCTGAATCGCTCTAGTGAGGCCGTACAGTTTGGAGGAAATCCAAGCCTCTCTCTTGATCTCGGTCCAACTGTTGTCATCAGGGTTCACTCTGTACACACAACGTTCTTCAATACTCTACAGACAGAAAACACATAGTTAACCTCTTGTAGTTCATGTCTAGTCAGGCCAGTTGATAATTAATCAGAGCCAGTCCAGGAATTCATACAAAATAACTATATTATGGAAGTAAAATAAAGTGTTTTTGAATGTTGAATTGCACTAATTGTAAAAAAAAAAAAAATGAATTTCAGCCCCTAAAAATACAATGCATTCAAATGCAAGCACCGTTAATGCAATGCATTTTTTGGCTTCAATTAGCGCAATCCACATGCTTTTTTGTTTCAAATACATTTCTCATTTTACTTCCATACTATATTCACTGAGGTACCAGCAGGTGAAATATTATTCATCTTTCGTCTGCAATTTTCAGCATGCTGTGCTTTAGTTAAGAGGAAGAGAAGCGTCTTTAAATTCATCCCATTTAAAGCACCTCTTTGGCCACTGTGTCACCTCTTCTAATTTTGAGCATATCACCAAAAGCTATTTGCATCTTTAATTAAATTATTAATTCATTTTTGAATTATCCATTAATTCTTTTTCATTCGGAGGACAAATTAAGTGCTTATTGTCATAAAAATACTGTCAGAATGCACAACAAATGAATGGTCCTAAAAATAGGCTTAATTTGTTTTTGTGACAAATATAAATCCTTATTTTGGATTTATATTTGTTCCTATTGATTTTGGGTTGTAATAACACTCGGGCATGTTCTTGACAGCTCTGTGAGACAGGAGGAGGGATGGCGGCCCACCATCACACAAGCGTGGCTGATGTTCCAGGTGAGAGTGGTCATGGTCCTGCCCCGAGGATCCACTACAGAGTCCTCAATGATGTAAGCCTTCTGTGCCATGTGAGCAGGCAGAAACTTCTCCGCCCAGCGAGGATCTCTGCTTGTTTTGGTCAGGAGACGTCTGAGATCAGACAGTTGTCCGGAGTGACTTCCCGAAATATGATGTCTTCAGTTAAAACATGATTACTGAGGAATAATAATACAGAAATGATAAGGAATCAAATATACAGTGGCTACAAAACTAAAAATATAAGACAACAATAGGAAATCTTGCAAAAAAAAAAATGCAGGAGTTGTATGAGGGTATCTTTAAAAGAAGACAGATATGTATATTTGTAGTACCTGTAGGGGTTGGGGTATCTCTGCCAGAATGCCAAAAACACTTGGTCCCATGAGCTCTTCAGAAAGCCTGCACAGCTGAAATACTTCACCATTGTTCCCTCTCAACCTGCTTGTGCTAAAAACTGCAACAAAGCACAAACACAGCAACTAGTTGATAACTGAAGAATACTAGCTAAACTAAATAATAAAATTAAAGGGGTCATATGATGCTTTTTTAAAGATCATTATTTTGTGTATTTGGTGTAACAGAATATGTTGACAT